GGGGGGGGGGGGGGGAACCGTAGATGGACGCTCTTCGTAACGTGAGGGCAGGCGAGCGCTCGAAGCTTTTCACTTTGTCCCGGGGGCCTCTCAACGTTCGACAGTGCACCCAAGGACAACCGACCACCCAACATCCTCGCAAGGCCTTGTGCCAAAATCCATGTACAATCTCGATCACCTTCACAAGGTCTCGTGACCGACTTCGTGCCATCCGCATCGTCATGAATCGACGCATCTAGACCACGCTAACGCGCAACGAGATCCTCCCGATCCCCCCCAACATATCCATCCGCAGACATCCTGCGTCCAAGTTGCAGCGCCCCTCTGCTTCGCCCGCACTGCCCGAAAACCAGACTCGAACAACGGTGCCCGCTCAACGACCAGCCACTTCCCATTCCACCTTTCAATGCGAGCAACCTGCCACAATGTCATCACCATAACAATCTACCCACCCCCTCAAAACGTCGCGCAATCGTCACCGCACATCCTCCTGCACTTGACTCGCACACTTTGCCACGCACTCCCGAGCACCCACACGGCTCATCTCGGCCAAAGCACTCCACACACACACAGATCTCCATCGACGATACAATGCAAAAAACTTTCTTGCCCCCGAGTGTCTACAGACTCATGGTGATTTATGCACCATAGCGCGCACCGCGGTGGAACGCAGCAGGCAGCTTCTTGGCGAGCTCGAAATACGGCCTCTCGACGACGACGAGCGCGTGCGGCGCAGCGTGGACGTGCGCGACGAGCAGCAGCGGCTGGTACTTGGCTGTCGTGCGCACCGTCCACTCGATCGATCCGGGCGTCGGCACGCGCTCCGCATCCGCCATCTCCACATCCCCATCCGCCTCCTCCACCGCCGAGCCCGCCAAAGACGCACGCGCAGTGGCGATCCACGTGGCGCCGTACACCACCAGCGTGGACGACGCCAGGTCCGCACCCGGTTCGGCACACCAGAGCGCATTCACCGCAAAGTCGCGCACGCCCGCCAGCCGCAGCTGCAGCGCGTGCTTGAGGCGGCCGAGATCGTGCGCGAGTGCCGAGCGCGTGTCGGTGCCCGCGGACCCTGCACCACCGCGCTTGCGAACCTGCTTGGGCGTGTCGTCGGACCCAGCTGCCGACGTGAGCTCTTTGCCGGACTCGACGTCCCAGAACTCGATCTTGTTGTCGGCAAACACGAGCGTCAGCACGCTGCTCAGCCGCGACGCCGTCGAGGGGTGGAAGGCCGCGCCCGCCGGCAGCGCCGCGGGCGACGGCAGCGTGCGGCCGTACGTGAGCGAGTCGAGCGAAAACACGTGGTGCTGCAGGTCCGACGAGATGGTCGACAGCCACGCGCCGTCGCACGAGATCTCGGCGTGCTGGATCAGCGTCGTCGTCGTGCGCTCCGCACGCTCGCTCCTGTCTCCACCCTCGCTGGCGCCATTGGCGTGGCCGTTGGACGACTCGCCGTTAGCGCCGCTGCGACCGGCGAGCTGCCGCTGCTCGGCGGTGTGCAGCGCCGCGGCCGCACGTCGGTGCTGCCCGAAACTGCGCAGCAGCTTGCAGCTCTCGCCGTTGGGCGCCGACGCCAGCTCGAGCACGTGCACATACGCACCCGTGAGCGAGCACAGCACGAGGCGCGTCGAGTCTGGCGAGAAGCGCAGTGCGCTCGCGCTCGGTGCCACGCGCTCGACGCCGCCAAACGCGCGCCCGAAGCTCTTGACCTTGCGCGGCTCGAGCTCGACGGGCGCGCCGGGCGTGCGCCTCTCCTTGAGCTCAAACAGCTTGGTCTCGTACAGATCCGACACGGCGAGGAAGCGGCCATCGGCGCTCACGGCGACGCACACCAGGTTCGAATCCACCTTGAGCTCCATCTCGAGCAGCTTGGCCCACGCGGGCGGCGCCGAGGGCTCGCCGGCGTCGGCTGCGCGCGCCACGCCGACTAGCTCGTCGTGGCTGCCGAGTTCCCAGATGCCGATACTCTGCTCGCGACGCAGCACGATCCAGCGCTTGCTGGCGCACAGCGCCGCGACCGAGCCGCCGCCGAGCAGGCCGGCGCGCGCCGCGGTGGGCACAAACGGCACGCGTCGCTGCGTGGTGTCGGCAAACGTGGTGAGCGGGTTGGACGAGATCGGGTTGATGGCCGCATGCTCCTGCTCGACCTTGCTGAGCGTCGCCTTGGTGGCCTTTGCGCTCGCCGAGGGGATCTGTGCGATGGTCGCCGCCTTCTGCGCCTTGACCACGGCCGAGGGCGGCGCGGCGGGCGTGAGCACCAGGTTGAAGTCGACGCCGCCACTGAGCAGCACAGGCAGACGCGCGGGCTGCTGCTGGCTGTCGACGCCGACGCTGCGGCTTGACTGCGCCGCATCGAGCGGCGAGTAGGGCGGGTCGAGCGCGAGCGCGCGGATGTCGTGTGCATGCAGCCGCCTCGAGGCGATGTGGATCCAGCGTCCGCGTGCGTTGTCCGCGTCGATCCTGGTGTATTCGGCGACCTTCTGGTCCACGCCGGCGCTGTAGACGGTCCTGCCGTCCGGGCCGACGCAGAGGGCAAGCACGTCGGAGGATGCGGCGTGTGCGCGGAAGGTGCCGTCGGTGAGCGGGATGCGGGTGCGTGCGTCGAAGAAGGTGACGCGGCCGGTGGAGTCGCCGGTGACGATGGTGCCGTCGGGCAGCGTGGCGACGCTCCACACGATGGTGGACTCGGTGCGGCTCTTGTGCACGCCGAGTTTGGTGACGATGTTGCCCGTCGATGCGTCCCAGACCATGGCGCTGGAGAGGGCGAGGCCACCGACGAGGAAGGACTCGTGCCACTGGTCATCCTCTTCTTCATCGTCGCCGTCATCATCGTCACCTTCGTCGCTGCTGTCACTGTCGCTGTCGTCGCTGTCGTTTGCGGTGCTCTGTTGCTTGCGGGCAGCGGTGGTGGTGCGCTTGGGGGAAGAGCGGACGGGAGGACCCCAGCAGAGGCTGATGACCTTGCCCTTTGCTTTACCGAAGCGTGGGGCAATTTGGCGGTCGCGACCCGAGGTGGCAGCGAGATGCTCGAATCGGTCGTTTTCGAGGTCAATGATCTTTACCGAACCGTCTTCGCAGCCGAGAGCGAGGAAGCGGCCGGTGGCGGAGGGAGCCATGCTCCATACGGCGCCTGCGAGGGAGGGTAGGGTGCGCGTCTCTCCCGGGTAGTGCGGGTCGAGGTCATCGGCTGCTCGCTTTCCGAAGAGCAAAGAGACGGTTCCGGGACGCGAGGTTTTGTTGGTTTCGTCGTCGGAGCCGGCAGCTCTGCGCGCACCGAGTTTGGCGAGATGCAGAGGGATAAAGTGCTCGGTGACGATGGATCCTCCGGAGATGCTGAATAGACGAAGCTTGCGCGGCTGTGTAGAGTCCTGAGTGGGTGGGTTGGCGAAGCAGAGGTGCTCGATCTTGGAGTTGACCTGGCCGGGCAGGACGGTGTGGACGGCCCAGCCGGCGGCGTCGGACTGGAAGGAGCGGTCGTCGAACTCGGACTTTTGAGCTGCACGCGGTCCTACCCATGTGCAGAGTTCGATGTTGCCATTGTGACGGCCGATGGCGAGGAGGCCTCGTGCTGCGCCGCTGAAGGCGGGAGAGACGGCGAGAGCGGTGACGGTGGAGGGCGACCAGTTGACGAAGCGGACGCGGTGGATGGCCACCGATGAGGCGCTGACGGCGTCGGTGTTGTGGTCGTGGATGGCGGCCATGGTGAGCGAGGATGAATGCAAGGTCCTTGGGAAGACTCTCTTGCTGCTCGCTATGCGAAGGGGATTGTCGGGCGTTGGTGGTGGTGACGAGGAGAAGGAAGACGAAGGTGCTCCTCAGGGTTCATTCAGACTTGGAATCAGCGAGCTCAAAAAAAGAGTGTCACTGCAGGCCAGTCTATTTTTCTTCTTCTTCTTCTGTGGAGCGCGCGCATCTGGCTTGCATCGGATCTTCCGAAATTTTGAAAAATCGGCGGCGGGCAGAAGAGCAGCAGAGCGGTGTAGAGGGGAGGTGGCACGTGACGGTGCAAAGGCAAGAAGGAGTTGGACTCCACTCGGGATCGCATCCTGTTGAGCTGTCACTCTGTCACCATCACAGCATCGGCACTGCCGTCACGTTACTGATATCGGATCAGCCGCACTTTCAATCATGCCGTAAGTACAGGTGGAATCAGCTGAGACTGTTCTCCAAGCTGCACTCGAAGCACGAATTGCGAGGCTCATGACTCACCCCCAACCTGTCGTTCTCCTCCTCGTCTGTTGGGATCTCCAGTCTTTACGAGCTTCTTTGCATCGCCGCCTCGTCGGCCGAGTCGGCACCGCTTCGCGATCTGGTCAAGTCGACGTCCAAGCTAATCCTCGAGAACGGTGGCGCAGTGCGTGGCGTGCAGTACTGGGGTCAGCGACGTTTGCCCCAACGAGCACGCCGTCATCAGCAATATCACAGCACCGGAGAGTAAGTGTCTTCGTTCTAAATCGATAAGCCACCCTTGACTGATACTGACCTGCTGCTCCATATCTCATGGCATCGGATCCACCGCCTCTTGCTCGTATTTCTTGCTTCTCTGCGCAGCTACTGGTTGATGCACTTTGACACCAACGCACCCGTACTCAAGTCGCTCAACGATCGATTGCGAGCGGATCCTCGCGTGATCAAGTGGACCGCACTCAAGCTCGGCGACAGGCTCGACCAGATCACACCCAAGGCAACATCGGGCGGCCTCGATTCGAGCGCCGACGCTCCCGAAGCACGCGCGCTCTTTGGCGGAAAGACCATGCGATACGGCTGGAAGTAGTTCTCAAAGCTTCCTCCTCGGCATAGTCTCATCTTGTACTTTTATAGCTTCCCAATGCATCTCCATATCCATCCTACGTGGCTCAACAGCATCTGCATTCCTGCCGCCCTTCTTGAGCGATTAGGTCCAGTCCCAATGACGGCACACAGCGTCGGAGCAAGGCAAGGCAAGGCGAGGCGAGTCTCCTAGACATGGCTCTCTCTACTGTGGAAAGGCAGGCTAAGATGGCGAGCTCTGACCGGCCAAGCTTGACTTTGCACTCATTAGTGCAGCGTGGAAGGGCCATGGCGCAAGTGGGTCGATCGAGCAACCAGCGCTAAATACATCGGGTCGCAAGACAGATCGGGGCTTCAAGATCGGAAAATCGAGGCTCAACGCAGTCGGCTGCACGGGCCGATGCGTCGCCGATGCGCGTCCACTGCTGGCCTCGCAAAATTGGCTCGATGGCGGTGGCCGACAGGGCGATTTGGCAGAGACGCCGCTCCACTCGAACTCGACTCGCCTCGCCTCGCCTCGACTCGACTCCACGCGCGCACAGGCACTCAACACTTGGCTCACAATCACCATCATCGCCTCGGCACCACCACACTGCCTCTCCAAGATGCGCAGCACCCACATCGCCCATATTCTGCCCCTCTAAGCATCCTTGCTATCAACCATGTCGACAGAGCCATCCTCGGGCTATCACGCCCCGTCCAGCTCAACCTCGGGCCAGAACGACTCCTCCGACCTCAACTTTACCTCGTCCAGCTCAGGCCCAGCAGTGCAACCACCACAGCCATCCACTCAACAAAACTTCCAATGGCCCTCGGAACCGCTCAACAACGGTCGTCCGTCGCTGCCGCAAGAGTCGCAAAAGAGCGTAGACGACGCCAACCGCGACATCTCCCAGCGCATCACCGACGCAGACCACGACGCCAACCTCCACCCCGCGCACGACAACGCTCATCCAGGCCTCGACCATCCTCGCCTTTCCGCGCAGCTCGCACATGCCCTCAACAACATCGAGGATGACCGCAGGCAACAGCTCTCCCCCACCAACACTTCCTTCCTCCCCGACAACACAACCTCGCTTCCCATGCTCAGCCCTCAACCCCAAGCCATGCTGCGCTCGACCTCCAACAGCACAAGCAAATCAGCAAATTCCGACAAGCTCGATCCAAATTCAGCCGCGGCATCCGCTGCCCAGTACAACTTCCTCCCCGAAATGTTCCGCAACGCCGCCACCATGCCCATCAACCTCCTCCGCTCCCTCATCCCAGACAACGCCTTCTCCGCCGCCAACGACGAGGGCCTCAGCGCCAGCACTCTCCAGGTCCCCGTAACCAGCTTCAGCGCCCTCTTCGAAGCTTGCAAGGCGCTCGAGTGGCTCGCCACCCAGGCCGTCAACTTTGAAGCGCCCGACAAGTCCTCCGCCTCTCGCTCGCGCAGAAACTCCACCGGCCAGCTTCAGTCCGACGACAACGTAGAGTTCACCTACTTTGACTACTTCCAAGTCCTTCAGAAGGTCGCAGACGTCGTCAGCGGTCTCGCCGCTTCAAGAGGCATCGATCTCGTCCTCGACCTCGATCCAAAGCTAGAGGGTCAGCCAGCCGAGAATCAGCGCAACTACAAGCTCGGCTCCTGCACCGTCTGGGCCGATCGCATCGCCGTCACCTTCCTCTTCATGAGCTGCATCTCCAGACTCCTCCACAAGGCGCCTCTGCACTCGTCCGTCGTCATCACTACCACGCTCACCGAGAAGGAAGAGACTGTCCCACGTCCAGACGCACAGGCCGAGATGAAGCTCATGGTCCTCTCCCTCGACCTACGCCTCATCCTCCCCGACGACAGTAGCCCTTCCGCAGATTACGTGTCGGCCATCAGAGACACCCCAGCCTCCCTCTTGCTCGATGCTTTCGGCGCACGCCTCACCACCGAGCAGTCCGCCATCAAAACGGCCTCGGGCGCTCACCAAAGCGTCGTCGACCATTCCATCAGCGTACCCATCGGCCAGCTCTCCGACCCGCAACAGGGTCCTGCCTCCAAACAGCCCAACGATTCTGCCGCCCATGATATCGTCGGACCCGACGAGTCGGAGCTCGTTGACTTTGCCGCGTCGTTGAAGGGAAAGAAAGTAGCGCTCTATTCGTCTTCGCAGAGCTTGTTTGCGCGCCAGCTCTCCACCTTCCTTTCCGGTCTTGGCTGCGACATTGCACCCGTCTTCTCCGACAGCGTCGATGAATCCTCGCTCGAAGGGGGTGACCAGGTGTTTGGCAAGCAGGCGCACACCGCCGTCGCCATGACCGCAGGCAGACCGGCGCTCGTCAGCTACACCAGCGACATGGACAGACGCGCTCACTCGAACCAGCCTCAGTCCCCTCGCATACCCACACAACCCGTTCAGGGCACGAGCGCGACGCCAGCTTCCAGTTCCGCAAGCACGGTGGTGCTAGACCCCGTCACGGGCGTCCCCACCACCTTTGACAGACCCGTGTTGCCGCCCAATGCCGCAGGCGCCAAGGACGACTCCGACGCACACAAGCATCCAGATGAGGTCGACAGGCGAGTCGTGCCGTTCAGCTTTGTCATCATCGACGACGACATTGTCACTCTGCAGAAGGAGCTGCTCCGCATCCGCTCGGCCGTGCCTCTGCTCAAGTCGGCCTTGGTCTCCAAGACCGCGCAGCAGCCGACGTCGCCCAACGACGACAAGAGACCCGCCCGACCCGTGCTCGATCACCGCACCAAGTCGAGTCCGCACGTGAACCGCCTAATGGCCTCGCAACCTGCCGAGTCGCACTCGCGCTCCTTTGGCTCTCTGGGATCCATGCTCATGTCTGGCGACAAGGTCGAGGCCGTCGATGCCGCCGACACTACCGACGCTGATACGGCTGCGGCTGCGGACTGTGTCTCGCAGACAATCATCTTCTTCACGTCGATGAAGTCGTACCGGCTCGTTCGGGACACGGTGCAGCCCATCATCGATTCGGCCAGCTTCCACGGCGTCTCGTCGCCGCCCGAGATCATGGTGCTGCCGAAACCAGCGGGAGCCAAGCGCATCTTGACCGCGTTACATCTGGCAGAGCGAAAGCCGGTGGTCAAATTGCCTTTCCTCCCCATCGCAACTTCGCCCCTGTCGCCGTTGACTACGTATGCCAAGAGCTGGTGGACTCCAGATGCGTCGCAGAAGGGCGATGCCAACGGGATCATGACGCTCACCCGCCGCATGACAACCTCGACCGATGCCGACTTTGACACCATGCCCTCGACGCCTTGGACGCCAGTCGATGCCTCGAAGCCCTCTGATGCCCCGGCCACTCCGCAGATCCCGCTGACCAGTGAAGCGCTTCCGCTGGCGGGACAGTCGGCTCAGAGTGCCGGTGCGCACACCACGCACAGCGTAGAGACCACCAAGGAGCCCGTGCGTGGCGCACCGGCTTCGACACCTGCTGCGCCGACAACAGCCAAGACCACACCGCTCTCTGCCGCCTCGCACAAGTCTGGCAAGAACGGGGTGCTGAGCACGGCGCCCGCGGGAGCCGATGCCACCTCGACGCAGAAGAGCACGCATCCTGGCTCGGCAGCGGCGAGCTCATCGTCGCCCTCGTCGGCCGCCAATCCGACCAGGTCGCTGCCGGTCAACAGTCCCATGCCCGCGGATGCGCTCGAGTACTTTAGCGAGACCGCGGCCAAGATGGGCGGGTCCGCGGCGAGCGGCATGGTGATCCAGAGTCCCGACGGGCGGCCGGCGGGCATCTTCTTCCAGCCCAAGGGCATGCAGTCCAACACGTCGCTGCCCGGCTCCAAACCGGCGCTCTCGCGCGGCGTGTCGGCATCGTCGCTGCGCCGCAGCATTCCGAGCACGTCCGAGCACGGCGACAGTGCAGGTCAAGGCGTCAGTCCTGCCTCGGCCGAGTCGGGCTCGCGCGAGAGACGCCTGACGGGCCGCAGCACTGCGTCCAGCACTGGCTCGGTGCGTGGCGGTGGCGAGCCAGGTTCGCGCGGCGCGTTGCCGATCTTATCCGAGTCGTTGGCGGACTCGACCCCGTCAGACGCGTCGGCGGCGGGCGGGCTGGTGCAGAGCAACGCCAAGTATGCAAGCGGAAGCATGTTTGCGCCACAGGTGGGCATCCACTCTGTGATGAATTCGTCGCGCCCGCCCGTGACGACGCCGTTGGGCACGAGTGCTTCGTCGGCAAGCCAGGATCCAGCTGCAGCCTCCGAGTCCGCTTCGCTCCCCGCCATGGCAGAAGAAAGCGCCGCCACACGGACGGACAGCGCAAATGCAGATACAAGTGCACAGCGTGCAGGCAGCGCCGGCGACACGAAAGGCAAAGCCAAGGAGGCCAGTCCCAGCACGTCGGCGATCGCTCGCAAATCCACCAAGCCCGCCACGCCTCCGACCAAGACTACTGCCGCTGCCACCGGGGCGACGACGGCATTGCCACCCAAAGCGCGCACAGCCTCTGCTGCAGCGGCGGTTCGCGCGGCGCGGCCATCGGTTGGCAGTGCTACAGCCTCGCCCTCGGACGCACGCACTAAGCCGTCGGCGGTTGCGCAGTCGGGCTTTATGATGGGCATGGGCTTCACCGCATCTGCACGACGCGGACGGGGACCCAAGAAGGCGCCCGTGCGCGAAGCGGTGCTGCCGCCGATCAAGGTGCTCATCGTCGAGGACAATCCGATCAACCAGCGTATTTTGTCCATGTTCATGCGCAAGAAGAGCATCAAGTACGACGTGGCCAACAACGGGCGCGAGGCGGTGGACAAGTGGAACACGGGCGGATATCATTTGATTTTGATGGATATCCAGCTGCCGGTTATGGATGGTATCGAGGCGACGAAGGAGATCCGCAAGTTGGAACGCCAGGCGAATATTGGGATCCTGCCCAACACGCCGCCCGCTGTGCCCGAGTCGCGCGTGCACAAGTCCGCCTCTCCCCCATCCAAGAGCGCTGGTGGGTCTCGCACTATCGCGTCCAAAGCGACGGACCCTTCGGACGGTTCGACGGCGAACGGTATAGTCGAGACGAATGTAGGTGCGGGGGTCGTGCGTCGCAGTGGAAGCACCAACCCCTTCCGAGCATCGGTGATCATCGTCGCGCTAACAGCATCCGTGCTATCATCTGACCGAGTGGAAGCGCTCGCGGCGGGATGCAACGACTTCCTCAACAAGCCAGTCTCGCTGCCGTGGCTCAACCAAAAGATCCTCGAGTGGGGCTCCATGATGTACCTCATGTACTCTGGCCTGTCAACGGACGACGTTCGGTCGGTGCAGGCCAACGCGGCGGGCAGAGGGGACAAGGCGCAGCTCCATCTGGGTTTTGGATATGGGCCCGCGGAAAAGGCCAAGGCGCTGGCGAACAATCTGCATCTCGGCGATACGCTCGCCGCCAAGAAGAAGAAGAAGGACCAGCTCGAGCATGCCAAGCAGCAGCAGAGGGCGAGGGTCCAGAGTCAGGAACAGGCGCAGCAGCAGGCCGAAGCTCGACAGGGCCACGGCCAGACTCAGACGCAGGAGCAAGAACAGGGCGAGACGCAGGGGCAGGAGCAGGCAAAGCCGGACCAGGCAGACTCTGAGCACCCGCCAGCGTCGCAGCCCGAGTAGCGCGTGCAATTGGCATCATCCATCCCTTTTTTTTTGAGTGTGGAACCGGAAGTGTGTGCGACTCCACCCTCTGTGGGCTGTCGGGGAAGAATGTTGAGGTGTGCAAATGGTGCATCCGCAATATTTGGCGGGTCGAGTCGGGGTCGGGCTTCGACTTTGGGAGCCCTCGGACGATTGCAAGCTCGGGTGATGTTTGAGAGGATCTTGACGCGGATGCCAACGCTGTGCACAAGGATCCTGGACGCCGTGTATCGAGCTCGATACTGCGCAGTCGATGATGGCAACGATGAGGCAGAGTCCGACCGTTGTCTGGCACATATACAATTGATACAGAACGCAACGGATGTGAAACCATGATCACGCTGGCAACGGGCTATTAAAGTGCTAGAACAGTGACGGAGCTGAAACAAGATCACATTGGCAACGGGCATAGCAAGGGCGTAAGCTACGACGAACTTGGATATCAGAAGGGTGGGGCTACGGACGCTGGAAACAAGAACGGTGAGAGCGAGAGACGACTTGAAGTGTTCCTCTCAGTTCTGACCGCGGTCCTTGGCAACGTGGATGCGGAGCCACTTGGACCCAAAGACGCGACTACCATCGGGTTGGAGGTCCGAGTTTCCAGATCAATGCCTTGACCATCCAGACCATCATTGACCCATATCCTGGCTTGGCCGTCTTGGGGAGCCTGAATCCGAATACTATACCTGCCCTTGGCCGTATCTTGGGGGCTAGAAATCAGAGGCCACGCCCAAATCCCTCCAATTGATCCAGAACGACTGGCTTGGATCATCGATGGTAAAGTCTACCTCACACAAGGCACACGAAAAAAAAGGATCAGTACGTTGGATTCAGGCTGCTCCCCCCTCGGGGAAAGGAGATTGGGAGACGAGATGCTTACCGCGCATTTGGTCATCCTTGAGCAGCAAGTCGCTCACGTCGTAGCTAAATGGATACTTTGTAATCTCCACATGCACATTCTCGAGGTCGCTCGCGAGCAACGTGAAGCAGGGATGCTTGGCCTCACTCGCTGCTCAACAGCCAAGCTCGTACTGCGCGTTGTTGACAGTCAAGGGGGTTTGGAAAAAGTCGATAGCGCAAGCCAGACCGGGCCACAGGCCGAGGCCGACGAGAAGCTGCTTGAGCAACATTGCTGAGGAGCACAAGTGGCGCAAGCGGATCAAGACGTGGCTGGTACAGGCCGACAAAGAAGTGCTTCCAGTCGTTCTTTTATACGGCATGAAAAGGGTCAAGCGCCAGCTGGAAAGCGGTGCGCAGCGGGGACCGGTCCACAAGTGTACCAACTCGATCCCACCTACGCTGTTGTGATTGCATGCGTATAAAGGCAGAGAGGAGGGATCGAGCCTTGGTGATCTGATGTGCCCCACTGGCGGCCCCACTGTGGGGCATGCGCGATTGTATCAGCCCACCTCTTGTCGGTCCCCACCCACCTCGGTCAGCCAGACGGGTTGACCACATCATCCTGTTGCATACGCCCTTGTGCGCACGGCACTTTGTCATCCTTTGCAATCGCTTTCCTCGCTTGGCACCGGACCGCTTTGGCAGCTCGTAACCATGCATCATCATCGGCACCGCATCAAGCTCCAAGATGGCCCCGATCATGAACTGCAATTGCACCCCTACCAGTCTCATCGTTGAACGACGCATCTTTCTGACTCCTCCCGTCATCCAATGTCGCTACGAGTCAGAGACGCCTTTGCTGGACGCCATGGAGGGCAAGCAGCACGCCCAAACCTGTTCGTTACCGAGCTTCGTCACCGCACAAAGCTCCGCAGTACAATGCGATATCGCAGCAAGCAATAGCAAAGCAGCCGGCGGCGAGACCAAGGACTTCTGCTTGCCCGTGTTCGAACATCCGGATAAGAAGCGCGCACTGCTGCCAAAGAATGCGACATTGGCTGGGGTGCAACGACGAGCTTGATCGGGGTGTCAGTGCTGCGGCATGCTCATGGGGTGCCAAAGTGGCGGCACGAGCCCCGTCCAACCTTCAGAGACACTGGACTGGGATGGTGACATAGTGACGTGCAGGGGGTTCAATCATCCTCTCGACCATACTTTCGAGCGGCTTGGTGTCAAAGCAGCATCGACGCTTTGTACCACTCTTTGGGCGGAGGAAAACAAGACTGGCGGGCGCGGTTCGCGATTGACACACCCTCTCGTAGCGGGCTGTACTTGGAGCAAAGTTCGCGGATGGTGCGCACTATGCTCGCTACGACTGGGTCCACTTGGCATGATGTGCGTGCGGCACTTGGCGCTGTTGCGCATCCGACGTCACCGAGCCTAAGGATGCTCACCCTCTCCCTTATAGAAAGCGTGTTCTCAGGGTGCTCTGTGATGCGATCCCACGTCTACGGTCTTGCTCACACCGCCATGCTCCCTGCGCTACCACCCACATCCTCGCAGTCCTACAGTTCCCCACACATCACTTGACGTTGCACCTCAGACCGCCGGCCATGGGATCGTGAACATCAAGCCTGCTTCTTACCGTGTGACCCTCGGGCTGGTGACAAAAACTTTGCGGACGGAGCGTTCGCCAAGCCCCATTCTACTGTGTGGCTCTTGGACTGTGCGTTCGGATTGCGGACGGTGCACCCCTATGCTGGCGGCGTCCACTGGCGCTGCCGATTCACTGGCGACAACAGGCAGCTACACACTGGACGACAACGTGCAGCTACGACGACACAAAGACTCCCGATTGTCCACCTCCTCCCTTGCACACCGCTCAGACTTGGTCGAGGTTGCACGCCTTGGGTGCGATGCTGCGCATTCGACGCCGTCAAGGCATAGCATTGCCTCCTCTCTAGTGGACCGTGGCTAAGATCGGGTCCAGTGCGAGCGTCACCTCCCGCCCTACGCTGGCGGCGTCCAATTGACATGCCTCGCGAGCCCCACCTGTCGCTGCTGCCCCACCTCGACCCTAGCGACCACCGGCAAACTAAGCCTCTTGAGCTTGACCGGCGTAGCTCCCTCCTCCGGCTCGGCCTTGTCCAGCGGGGAGCGTCTCGCCCTCTGCGCGCTACTAGGCGGCGTCGCGATGCTGCTGGCCGAGGACCTTCGACGCTCGAGATTGGCTTTGCGCAGCTCGTCGCGCACGTACACGTACGCGGCGCGGATCTGCTTCTCGCGCTCCTTCTGATCCGCCACCTGCGCACGCAGCCGCTCGATCTCCTCGGCCCCATTCTGTGGCTCGCCCTCTTCCACCGATGCGTCGTCGGCCTCCTGCATCACCGCGTCCGCATGTCCCAACCGCAACGCTGCAATCTCGCCATCGCGCTCCTCGAGCATCCTCCGCAGCATAGCCACCTCGCTCTCGGCCGCCTCGTCACGCACCACACCCTCGTGGCTGCGCTCGTTCTGCGGCGCAAGCGTCTCGGTCTCGACCTCGCGCAGCCTTTCCTTGGCGTGCCTCAACAGCTGCACCACCTTGTCGCGCTTGCGCGCCTCCTCGACCAGCGTCGCGCGCGACCGCATCGCGTCGGCATTCGCCTGCACCGTCGCCGCATGCGCCCTCGCCAACTCCTCATTCAACCGTACCATCGCCGTCTGCTGCCTCTCCACCTCCTCCTGCGCCTCGCCCAACGCCCCCCTTAACCGCTCCACATCCTCCTCGTACGTCTCCCTCTCCAACTGGTGCGTCGCGAGCATCTGCTCGATCACCTCGCGCTGCTGCTCGAGCAGATCCAGCAGCTTGCGGATCTCGCCATGGCTCTGCTCCACCTTGGCGTTCATCGTGCCGAGATAGCTGGCGAGCATCTCGTTGTTCACCCCGACCCCGCTCAGCGGTGTCTTTTCGCGCACAATCTGCTCCAGCAGCACCTTGTCCGCCTGCAGCTGCCGGAACGCCTGCGCCACCTCGTTGAACGCACCCGCAAACCGCCCCTCGGTGCGCCGCAGCAGATCTTGCCGCTCCGACTCGCCCAGCTGCTTGAGCAGCACCTCCCGATCGTGCAGGATCTCGCGCCGCCGGTCGCTGATCGTGCTGAACGTCGAGTGGCAGCTCGCAACGCTCTCGGCGCCAGCTCGCTCCTCGAGTCGAGCGTGACCCGCCTCGGATGCTGCCTTTGAATCGAGCCCAGAGCCTGTAGCCGTCGGCGTCGCCGCCGAGGTGGTCCTTCGAGCTGGCCACGCGCTCGGAGGCGGTGCCGCCGCGCGCACCGGCTTCTCCGTCGTGGCTGCCCGTCGTCCTTGCGTCGGCGTCTGCGATGGCAGAGGAGTCCTGCGCTCCATGTCTTCAGCCAAGCTCTCCTCTTGCTCTGCTGGTGTTGGGGTGCTGGTCGAAGGTGTGGCTGCAGCGGTGGCGTGTGCGTTTGGACTCGAGCCAGTCGCGTCCTGCAGCGCCTGCGCCTGCGCCGCATCGCTCCCGCCCGCCTTCGACGGCCTTCGCACGGGCTGAGGCGAGACCCTCGTAGCCACCTGTGCCACCGCTACCGTCGCTGTACCCGCACCCTCCATCGCCGCCTTCGGCTCCTGCTCGGCGGTCGTTGAGCGATCCTGCACCGCCGTCTCTGCTCCAGCATTGTCGGCGCGATCAAGTGCAGTCTGGGCGGTCTCGGGCGATCGCACGCCCTTGGGCGTATTGAGCGGATCCGGGTCCGAATCCTCATCACCCGCCTCGTGCCCCCAGGGCCCACTGCGCTGGAGCGGATGCGGACTCTTACTGCCCACGCACGGCGTATTGGGAATCGGCGGGAGCGGTTCAGTCGGTGGTGCCGAGGGGGGCGGTGCACGCGGCTTGCCCGGACTCGCTAAGCCCTTGAAGCCCACGCCACTCGGCGAGAGCGGCGACATGGCGGCCAGCGCCGTGTGATTGAGCACGAGCGCGGTGGGGCGCATCTTGCGTTCCTTGCCCACTGCCTTGGCCAGTGCAGCGTCGTATGCCAGATTGGGCGTGTTGGGCTCGGACGCCTGCGCGGCTGTGCGTGCAAAGCTGGCGTGGAAGATGGGCGTTGACGTCGATGTTGGGAAAGGCATGCTCGGCAGCGGTGCGGTGTAGGGCTCTGCGACCGAGCGCGTCGCCGCACCCGCCTGAGAGACGACACCAGCCGAGCCCCTCCGCAGTCCCACAATGGCCGGCTCGGCGGGCACCAGGCGCGACTTGGTCGACTTGCTGCTCGACGCCGTCGATGCCGACCTGGAATGCGGCTTGAACTCGGCCGCCTCGAGCTCCAACGGCGGCAGCAGCTCGTTGACCGCCGACGAATGCGAAGTGTGTCGCTGACGGAATCCAAACGTTGGCGAGCCGATGCCATTGACTGCAGACTGAGCCTGCAAAGAGGCGCTCACACCCTTGTCTCCTCTCGCCCCATCGCGGCGTGGCGCATTCTGCGGTGCTGCACTGTGCAATTCCGAGCCCGTCGACGAGCCGGAAGCTCTCGAAGTCCTCGCATCCGACAACTCGGCGTTGACCGACCGGCTGAATCCCGAGTCCATCGAGATCTGTCGCTTAAGCACCGACTCGGGCGACTCTGTGCGTTCCTTGATGGTCGAAAGCTGGTCCGAGTCGTGAATGTCGGTGCTGGTCTCTGCGGTGTTGGTGCTATGCCCGCTGTCGCTCACTTGGGTCTTTTGGGTCTTGCTCGACGCGAGCGAGGCGGCGCGTGCCGGGCCGTCGGCATTGGCGTCCGAGTCGGCGAGCAGGCGCAGCGGGTCTCGACCAAACGAGGTACGCCCCCAGCTGTCGCCGGAGCTGTGCCCGGACATGTCGCTGCTGGTCTTTGTGTGTCTGCGCGCGGCTCCGCCTGCATCTTCGTGCGACACGATGCCGAGTCCAAACGTGGCCTGCCTGCCCGGACCGTCGCGGATGCTGTCTTCGAGCTTGCGCAGCGCATCGGTGCTCGACATCCTGTGTGCGTTGGAGTGGAACTCCTCGCTTGCGAGCTGCGACGATCCTGGCTGCGAGACGCTCTCGGGCACGCTCGGGGCGGCGGAGCGTCTCTGGACGCCGGTCGACTGCGGTCTGAGATGCGCGTGCTCGTCGGCGGCGGGCCCGTTCAAAGTCGGCACAGGTTTCCTAGGCGATCGCGGTGCAGCAGCAGCGGCAGCCACGCCCAGCTGGGGCTTTGTGACGAGAGGAGGCGGAGGCAGAGGGGGCTGAGGCTTGTTCTTGGCGACTGGCGCGATCGAGGCAAAGTCTGGGCTAGAGTAGCTCGTCGAGTTGGTGAGCGCTGGACTCTCGTCGAGCGGATTGGATGCGGACGAAAAGGCGATGATGGAGCGAAAGTCTTCGAAGCTGCCGAGCGAGCCGATGGACGCGAGGCGCGAGTGCTGCGTGTGCTTGGCCGAGTCGTCCCGGTCTGCATCCGACGAAAGGTCCGAGTGCGGATCGTCGTCCGGCACTACGCCTCCTCCGAACTCGAGGCTGTTGGCGCCTCTGCTGTTGGATCGCGGGCCGGCCGCAAAGCTCATGGGCGATCGCGAGCCCGTGGCGCCTTCGCGGGTGCTCGGACGAAACTTGGCCGCCATCCCGGCTCTTCCGAACGCCTTTGCCACCGTCGGACGTGCCGAGTCGGCTTCGGTGGCCGAGCCAAGCTGGGATGTGCTCGGAGCAGCCGACTGGGCGGTGTCCATGGGAAAGTGGCGCTTGCTCCTCCATTGCGAGAACATGTCGAGTCGCTAGAAAGCCGCCAGGGCTTTGCAGTCACGGTTGAAAAAGCAACCTGTCGTATCGAGCGATGGCCGTATCCAAGTCGTAAGCGATGTGTGATCGGAAAGCGCGGCGAGACTTGCCGTGCTCGAGAAAATGAAGCTGCAGCGTTGCGACCGGCGCCGAAGCTCAATCAGCAGATGTCGAAAGGTGGGTGCGATTCCTAGACCCAACTCATGGTGCGTGTGGTCGGAAACCGAGCGAATGTGGCTGACCAAGATGAGATGTGGTGGCGGTGCCAGCTCTAGGTGGCAAAGTATGAAAGGGTATCGGCGTGTCTCGGTGGTGGGGAGAGGAAATCGAGTTGCAGGCACCTGAGACACAAGCGAGACCTTCCGAAGCTGTCTCGCGCGCCACCGGGGAGAGCATAGGGCAGCAGCTGCAGTAGTGGTCCTTCACCATGCGGGCAACGAGGGGAAATTTCCTTGGGCCTTGCCACCGCAACGGCGCTCTCGAAGCCAAGTCCTGAGCTGCACTTCGCTGCACGGTGCTGCACGGCCAATGCAAGTGCCAGCCTTCTGCATCCCTTTACCCTTCAAGCCCAAAGTTGGCGCTTGGAAGAGCGATGCGTTGCCCACTCAACCATGCATCGGCCGCCTCACTGCCACTGCAACTGCAACGCTCGGACTCTTGTTTGTCCACATCTCTCAACGCACCACCGCTGCTCCCTCCGATGCAGTCTGAGCGCCGACCCCCAGGGCAGTTGCATAAGAAGCTTTTTCACCCGGCGCTTTTGCTCGCGACAGCTGGGCTTGAAAAGCGCGCCCACAGCTTCTTGGATGCATGATCAGCGCAGCCTCTGCGGCCCAACTCTTCGGCTATCGTCCTTGCATCTTCTCGCTTAGCATCCGAAAATCCATCGCCCCGTCGCCCTTTTTCCCTTCCCACCTCCTCCCTCCCCTCCCCTACAGCTCAGGCGAGACATCCACACAGGTCAGGGGCCACTCCCACCTCAATCCTCGTGTGGAGATCTGCTAGTGGATTTCGACTCGGCCATGCCATGGCGTCAAGCAAGACGGCTGACGTGTCCTGGCATGCAACACAAAAGCAAGCGGAAAGTGGCACGAGTGGGAGTGCGAGTGGGAGTGCGAGTGAGACGACGAGGCACACGCGCGTAGTGCCCCTGCATCAGCTAGCCGAGTAGCGGTGGTGCATGCAACGCCCGGACGCCATGAATCGCGTAGCCAGCCTGCCCGATTGGGTTCCTCCGGCATGGCCATGCCGACACCGCATCGTCGGGTCCAAAAAAAAAAGAATCTCGAAATGGACGTGCACTCGGCGCCTCAGAACGTGGTGAACGACGACTGCGAGATGGCCGCCGAAAACGTCGAGGCACCATCGTCGTCGGTAGCGCCATAGTAGTCTGCGTCGCCCTTGTAGTTGTCCAAGCTGGTGGCGTCCGAGGCGGCGCCGATGCTGCTGAGGCTCAGTCGGCGCTGGAGGCGGTCGCTCTGGCTGTACGTGATGCTCGCCGCCGACGCCGCGCCACCCACGCTCTCCTCGTCGACGTCCTGGCTGACGATGCTGCTGGCATACGCCCCATGCACGCCACCCAGATGCGCAGACGGATACGTCGCCTGCGTGCCCAGACTCGTCACGCTCTGTGCATCGCTCGGAATGAACGACATCGGATCGTGCGTCCGGAAGAATCCCTCTCCAGCCCTTCCCACCTCGCGACCTTCACCACCCAGATCATGCCGATGCCGCGCCATCAGGTCTCCCGGCTTCTGCAGCGGCCGACGCGGTTTAGGAAACTGCATCATGCTCGGCTGCAGATTCGACAGCACCCCCTCCACCAGGCATCCCTTCTCCTTGTAGTGCACCAGCAGGTAGTGCCACAGCGGATGCTTGTTGAGCACCTTGGGATTGCCCAGGATCACCAGTCCGAACCGCGCCCTCGTCAGCGCCACGTTGAGTCGTCGTGGATCGCTCAAGAATCCAATCCCCTGGTGCTCGTTGCTGCGCACGCAGCTAAGGATGATGTAGTCCTTCTCTCGACCCTGGAAGGCATCCACGCTCGCCACCTCCACCTCCTTGTACAGCTCCTTCTTGAGCGATCCGTGCAGCTGCATGTGGTTCACAATGTAGCTGCGCTGGCCCTCGTACGGCGTCACGATCCCGATCTGCCACGGCTCCACGCCCGCCTTGAAGAAGCGCGTGACGATCTTCTCCACATTCGACGCCTCGGTGCGGTTGAGGAACGAGGTGCCGCTGCTCGAGATCTCCTCCTGCCCCAGGTTCTGGAAGAACATCATCGGCAGCGACGGCACCGGCCAGGGGAAATCCACCTTGGCCCGCAGCCGCTCCTGCGCCGTGATGCCGTTCTGCAGCGTGCCCTCGTAGAACATGTTGGACGGGAACTCGGACAGGCACGGATGCATGCGGTACTGGATCTCGAGTCGGATCGGTCGGTTGCCCAGCATAATGAGCCGCTCAAACAGACTCTGGCTCAGGCCCGCCCTTGCCGCCTTCTTGTTCATAATCACCGGCCCCAGCTGCAGATGGTCGCCCACAAACACCACCTGCTTGCACCCCATGACGAGCGGGATCATGCACTCGGGCTCGGCCGCCTGCGTCGCCTCGTCCACCAGCACCGTGCGGAAGTTGATCTTGGACAGCCGCGGATCGCCGCATCCCACACACGTGCAGCAGATCACATCGGCGGTGCTGAGGATCTCCTTTTCGCACGCACGCGTCAGCGCCTTGTACTTGCGTTCGTCGCTGCTGCTCAGCTCGCCCTGCTCGTTCTTGAGCTGGATGAGCTTCTGCAGCTCCACGTGCGTGTCGTTGTTCGCCACCTGCTCGTGCAGCGTGAGAAAGCCGATCGGACTGTCGAGCGCCTCGCGGCTCTTGGCGGTGAGCCGCACCACCTTGAGGCCCGTCGCGTGGATCTTCTCCGTCAGCTGATCCACCGCCACGTTCGACGGCGCACACACCAGCACGGGACCCGGATTCATCTTGCTGAGCTGATACACGATCGAAGCACTCGTCACCGTCTTGCCCGTTCCGGGCGGGCCCTGGATGAGGCTGAGCGGCTTCTTGAGCACGCTCTTGACCGCATTCACCTGGCTGTGGTTGAGCTCGGGCAGGCCGGGTGCGCTGAAGCGCTTGGGCATGGTGGTGCGCAACATGCCCTGATCGATGTCGCGCCCGAGCAGCTTGTGATAGATGGGCGCGCTCAGACTCTCCTCGTCGACGGCAAACGTCTTCATGGCGCTCTGCATGCGGTCGAACGACGTCGCCTTCCACACAAAGTCGGCGCAAAAGTTGTGCGTGCAGTGGTCTGGCACGCCATCGGAGCGTTTGAGCTCCAGCGCGATCTCGTCCGAGACGTTGTTGGGAATCTTGATGACGTGGCCGACGCCTTCCCAGGGCGGCGCCATCTCGCCACGGTAGCGCAGCTTGAGCTCGTCGCCGACGGCCAGACGCACCTCTCCGCTCTCGAGCTTGGGCAGCATCATCCACGCGATGCGCTTCTGGTTGAGACCCTGGTCCCAACGGACGACGAGATCCTGCTGGGTCTGGGACTCCTTGAGCTTGCGATCGTAGTCTGCCTCGATCTTGACGAGCGGGCCAAAGATGTTTTGGTACTGGTAGGCGTCTTCGTATCGGAGCAGGATGCCGTTGGGTTCCTCGTCGACGCCCGGCTTGTCGAGGTCTTCGAGGCTGGCGTTTGCATTGTCCTTCCACACCTCCTCGAGGCGGTTGATCTGCTGCAGCGTGATGGGGCGCGCGCGGAGCTGTTCGTGCTCGGTGGGCACCTTGACGAGCCAGGTGAGGAAGCAGCGATCCTCGATGAGCGGCGACCACTGGCTGGTATCCCAGATGACGTCCTTGGAGTTGGACATGGCTGCGCACGGCTGGCGGCAGAGCAGCACGACGACGGTCTCGCTCTTTGCGGGGATGAAGCCGAGGAGGAAGACGTTCTTGGCGCCGCAGTTGTAGCATTCAGGCGTGGTCTCGCCGAGGGGCGACTCTACGTGGAGGCAGACCTCCTTGTGCTTTGCACGGACGAGGTGGTTGACAATGTGCGAGCCCGAGGTGGAGCCGCGCGAGTTGCAGAACCACTTGTTGCAGACGAGGCACTTGACGACGCAAGCGGGGTTGAAGATGCCGCAGTAGGCGCAAGCGTGTTCTGGCAGAGGCTGGAGCGAAGACGAGGCCGCCGCGGACTCTTGTCCGAAAGCATCCGAGTCGGCCTGAGCTGCGCCGTGGGACGAGGTGAGATGGGCGTGGCTGGCGTCGTGCGGCTGAGCGTGCGAGCGCGTCGGGTCGATGTCGTGCTCGGTGAGGTGGAGATCGCTGATGGCTTCGAGATCGAGGTCGAGGTCGATATGCTTGGTTCTGCGCTGGTCGGTGCGTGGCTTGGAGTGCCTGTGGCCATTGTCACGGACGGAGGAGCGCGAGGAGGCGTCTGTATACGAGTAGTCGGAGCTGGTGGCGCCGTAGGCCGAGGCGCCATCAAAGTGGTCGAAGCTGTCTATCTCTGACATGGCTGTGGGGGTCGAAGCGAGTCGACGGCCGACGCTAGGCACTGCTTCAGGGCATGTGGAGAAGTGGTGGGATGCGTTGGAGCCAGCGAAAGGGGGGTTGGTCGTGGGCGACTGGAGGCTCGATGCTGGTGTATGGCTAGCGAGCGCCGAGAAGGTGGGGCGTGTGTGCAGCTGGCAGAGAAGGACGAGGGCCGTGCTGGTTGATGAAGTGGAAGAGCGGCGGATGGAGAGCCAAAAAGTGTTGGTCTGCGAAGCTCAGTCGAGGCGGAGGAAAGTTTAATGGCGCAAGCAGGCCCCACCCATGCTTTGTCAGCATGATCAATCCTGGCAATGGTAAAAAGCTGTCAATATTAAAGTCTAACAACGCGATGCGTTGAAAAAAAATGGGCACACGGTTGTCGGCGATGGACGGACGGCGTTGAGAGCCGATTGCACATAGCTGGAGCCGGCTGCTTTCGGCAGGAGGCATGGCGTGGCGTTGGTAGTGGTCACACATAGTTCGGCGTCGTAGGTGAGGTTGATGGCGTTCAGCTGCCGCAGCCAAGCACTGGCCAAGTTGAGTGTAGGTGTTGAACGAGATCCTGGGCAGCGCTCTATCATTGGAGCATGTCATTCCGCTGTGACATCACGCCGGGACCTGCTTCAAGGCTGAGCTTCTTTCTTTTTTGGCTCGGTCGAGATTGGTGCTAGGCTAGTGTACTCGAGATCGAAGCTGGCAGTTCGTGCATTGCGTGCATTGCGTGTTGCGAGGCGTCGACGTTCCAATCGGCCACTCGAAGCCCCCAGCACGCGGTGCTCGGCGAGATAGGAGTGGAGAAGCATCTTAGCTCGAGCCGTCCATGCTACCGAGGCACGGAGCCATGCCGACACAGGCTCAAGCGCACGCGCGCCTTCCAATCCTTTCACACTCACCAGTACGGCTCGATATTTTCCGAAATACCGTAGGCCTCTCTGGCACTGTGAGCGTTGGACCCTGGACTGGATGAGTTGGCGGAGAGCAGAGCGGCGGAGAAGCCGGACGGGAAAGGACGCAGCATGTCTCGGATGGGTCGCCACTCAGCTTTGGAGCCAAGCCGCTTTGAAGAAAGCCGCTTTGAAGATGGAAGGGTCTGGCCCCCACGGGCAGTTCATGCGCGCAGGCCAACCTGGGCCTGTTTGGAGCGGGGCGTCGAACGCGTGCAGCTTTTTCCCCAACCAAAGTCCGCCGATGCCGGTGCATACAATATTTGCCCGCACTGCTTCTGCATGACTTCCCGGCCGTCCAGCTCTAATATTCAGCATCCGACCTCGAGCATCAAACAGATTTGCGGCCTTGATAAGTTGACTGGCTCGGGCCTGAAAATCATTGCGGCCCTTGGACTTTTTTTCCTTTGGCACGGTCCCGTGGGGGACCATCGGAGCGTCCCGAGCAAGGCCACAAGGTGATTGTTCAGAGGGAAGGGGGGCTTTGCTCCGTCGGATGCTTGGCTCGAGCCGACCTGCAAAAGCACGGCTTGGTGGATGCGACCAGAACGGCTTGTAACTGTACAAGCGTGCACCGGCATCTGCGTGCACAACCGAGCCCTTTCTTTTGCG